AGGCTCCGCTGGGAGGCATGCCACACCTCTGGGGTCCTGGGGTGTGACGGAGACATCTGCCATCCCACCTGCTCCTGCCTGTAGGGTGTGGAGACTTGGTCTGCATGGTGTCCTATGGCCCGAGCCCCTTGAGGTAGGCCCTAGCCCCACTCTTCCCAGTCAGGCTCCCTAGGACAATGCCTGACCCCCACAGGTCTGCTGAACCTGCTGCCAGAGCTTTTCAGCTCACACACGTCTGGCCAGTTTGGAAATGTGCATGCCTGTGTACCAAGAGATGCTGTTGGAGAGACCCAGCTTCCTGCCGTCGCCCTGTTCGTGAAGATGGCTACCGCCTTCCAGATCAGGCAGAGCCGGCTGGCCAACAGCTCAGCCCGGTGCTGCTTCCCAGCCCTGCTGGGCCCCAGAAGGACCTGAGGCCCTTTGTGTAGGAGTGTGGAAAGAAATTCACTTTTCTCTTTGTTTAATTGTAAGTGCACAGATAACACACCTCCTTTTCCTTTGAAAAATCAGAACATTGCTTTTAAACTCTCATGACCTTGACCCCCCCCACCTTTAATCCCACCTCATCCCCTCCAAAAAGGCGATCACCGTGTACCCTGCCGGACATTTTCTTAACTTTCTCTTTTACACCCACATGCAGGAACCCATACAAAATAGACAGCCTGGTTCTGTGAGGCTTGATTTTATACAAGTTGCGTTCTACTGCGCATGTCATACTGCAACTTGCTTTTTCCACTCCACAGTGTATCCTTGAGGCTTCACCGTGTTGAAATAGCCAGAGATCTAAGTCATTCCTTGTTGTCGCTGGTTTTGCACTGAATGGACATGTGTGTTTTTGTTTTGTTTTGTTTTGTTTTAGGCTTTCCCTTGTTGTGGGAGATTTGGGTCCCTGTAGACCCCAAATCCTGCTGTCAACATCCTTGTTCACGTCTCTTGGCCCTTGTGTGTGTTTTCTTGGGAACATAACACTTGCCAGGTCATATGGTGTGAAAGTTTCAATTTAAGTAAACAATGCTAATGTACCCTTCAAAGTGGCTATGTTAGCTTATTCTCCTGCCAGCAGTGTTTGAGAATGTCAGCTTCTTTGTGTCCTCACCAACACCCTTCTTTTTCCCAGTCGACGGGTAGAAGGTTGAGATCTTGTTTGAATTTTTTCCTGTTTTCTCGTGAGGTTGAGCACTTTTGTGTGTGTTCATTGGCTGTCTCCATTCTCTTATCTGTGAATGGCCTGTGGGAGTCCTTCACGTTTACTGCGAGATCTTTGGCTCTTAGAGATATTTTCCAGTTATTTCACCGAGTCTGTAAAGTCATTTGTTACATATGCGTTAAGTTTCAATTTTGATGTAATCAGTTTCCCAGTCTCGTATTTATTTTTTTGTATGTGTTGATTCTTACTTCTTTTTAAAGAAACCCTTCCCTGCCTCTGAGAACACATGGATATTCTCCTATATTGTCTTCTGGCAATTTTCTGTAAATTTTTAAACCAGAATCCTAGGCCCTACCCCTTTTGAAGTGAAGTTGATGGGGGAGGGACCCTGCAGATTCGCTGGGCAGCGGGATCTGGGCAGTGCCAGTGTGCAGGCCACAGGCCACTCCTGGGAGTCGGGCAGGGAGGCTCATGAGGCCCTCACACCATGACAGTCCTCCCCTTGTCCCCACGTCCCTCCTGGTACCTCAGCACTGGCCTGGCTTCTCTGTCTTGGAGTGAAATCCAGGGCGCCTGGCATAGCACTAGACTGTGGGTGGGACTGGGTTCTGTTCAGCAGCTCTCCCTTGGGTCCTCCTCCACCCAAAACACTGTGGCCGTCCAGAGATGAGCAGACAGCCCCTGTCCCCAGGGCTCCACACAGGGAACGTCCATAGCCAGCCTTGGAGCAGCTGAGGGCTGAGGTGGGAAGGAGTTCCCCAGAGATGACACCGAGAGGCCCACAGATGAGCACCCCCCCCCAGCATTCCCTAGGACAGTGCCTAGGACAATTCCCTGGTTTCCCAGGAGGAAGCCTCCTTGGTTTCCCAGGAGGAAGCCTCCTTTGTTTCTCCCTGGTCTCCCAGGAGGAAGACCCCCCCCCACCCCCCCCCCCCCCGCCGCCACCTGCCCCAAAGCTTCTGAAAAGCCAGAGGCTCCCTTCCTGCTCCCTGGGGACTGCTCCCTGGGGACGCTTGCATTTTCGTTTTCTTATGAAATCCCTCATGGGGGTTTGATTCTCAATTGCATTTCTGAAAGTTGTTCCACTTTGGGGTTTTGTCCTTCCTTTTTTGTTCTTAGTGATGGAGATGGTGGGTCTTCCCCCCCCCCCCACCGAAGCCTTTAAGGTCCCCGGGCTTTATGAGGGGGTTGCCTACCTACAAACCCTATTGACACCTACACCCCTGGCCTTCCTACCTTCCCTGATCACACCCTCAGGGGCGTATCTTCTATCAGTGGGAAGAGAGAAGAAATCCTAGGAGGCCTGCTTAGAGAGGGGAAGGTGAGGAGCAGGGGAGAGAAATGGAAAAAGGAAAGAAAAAGCATCCTTTATAGTTTTGTTTTCTATTTAAAAAGGTAAAAGATTGTCATTGAGGAAAATGTTTTAAGTACTGAGTAAAGAGAATAAACCAGAGAGTAAAGAGAATAAACCCCAGAGAACATGCTGGTAAGAGTGAAGAGGCTGGCTTCACTTCTGAATACAGAGCGCTACCTTTCTTCCAGTAGGGCACTCACTGGACATTCTGGATGACATAATTTTTAGAAATCTTTTAAGGTCCTTGGCTGGGTCGTTGGGAAAGGGAGGAAGATTCCTGCCACAGAATAAGAAGAAAGCACCACCCAGAGAGTTAACCCTGCCTGGTGCTGGTGTTTGCCACGGGGCTGCTGGCCATCCTAGATGGGCTTGCCTCGGGGAGAACACACAGAAGCATGAAGCCCTTAAAAGCCCAGAGGGTACACCGGAAAACATCCCCATGAAACCACAATCCCAAACAGATTAGCCTTCAGAGCGTTAAACTGAGCTGTATTGGGGGAGGTAGTGCCGAGACAGGAGACTTACCTATCCCCTGTAGATCTGAAGGAAAAGTAAAAATGGGGGGGGGGGAATCCTTGGGGAATACCTGAGCCCAGGTTTGTCATCACCTGCGTTTGGGGCCAGGATTTCTACTGTGTTACCTTCCCTCCCCTCCCCCACCCACCCACCACCAATACATTTAAGTCAAATACTTGGTTACAGCGCTCTCGATAGAACTCACTGGGGTGACACAGATGTCCCACAGCTGGAATTCAGTGATGCACAGCTGTAAATTTGCCAAATCTCCAACTGTACACGTAAAAATGGGTGCATTTTATGGTATATAAATTATAACTCAGTAAAGCTGCTTCAAAAAAAAGCCCACGTACCATTCTTCTAATCAGAAAGTTCTTCTAATGTTTCAGTTTTATTTTCTGCACTTGTATTTTCTTTGTGGGAATACTTTTTTTTTTTAACATAGCAAAATCACAATAATACAGTTTTTATCCTTCTTCATTTCAAATTTTCATGTCTTTTCCAGTGTCATTGCAATTATTTGTAAATAGGATTTAACTTGGGTTTCCAATATGTGCTTCATTTTTTTTAAAAGATTTATTTATTTTAGAGAAAGAGAGAACACACTTGAGTGGGGAGGGGCAGAGGGAGAGAATCTTTAAGCAGACTCCCTGCTGAGCACGGAGCCCAACACGGGGCTTTATCCCAGGACCCCGAGATCGTGACCTGAGCCAAAATCAAGAGTCGGCTCTTTAACCAACTGAGCCACCCAGGTACCCCTAAAAGATTTTATTTTTAAGTAATCTCTACACCCAACATGGGGCTCGAACTTAAAGCCCTGAGATCAAGAGTCACGTGCTCTACTGAATGAGCCAGCCAGGGACTCCTGGCTTTTAATATGTACTTCAAAAGTACATGTTGAGTACCTTCTCGTTGTAAAATAATTTCAAGGAATACAGTGGTATATGGTACAAACATTTAAGTTCTCCCATTGATACCCCCACCCCATACATGCACTCCCACCATCAGTTCTCACTTCCCTTTCCATAGGCAACCACTGTTCACAGTTTGGTTAAACATACTTTTTAAATGGGTATATAATTTTGCATGTGATGGGGAAAAAATCATTAACTTTTTCCCCTATTTGGGGACATTTAGGTTGTTTCCTGTTTTGGCTTTTTTTTTTTTTTTTTTTTTTTTTTCCAAACATGGGGCAGAGGATTCCATTGGAGGAAATACAAAGCAGACCATAGATTACATGGTCCTGTGTTACTCTGATGATGTCAAAGCCATCAAGGATAGGCACTAAATTAGATATCGAATTTGGGGGTAATTTCCAAGTAAGAGAAGGATTACAGTAAGGATTCTATGTTAAATGCTTTACCAATCCGTTCTCATTTAAAGTACCAAACATCTCAAGAGAAGGGAGATTATTCCCATTTTACAGATGGAAAACTGTGGTTCATGGGGGCCAAATGCCTTGCCCAGGATCACACACCATCCAGTGCAAAGCTCGGCTCTAAGGTGCCGGACACAAGATTGGAAGCTTGATGGTTATATAACCAAGCAGGGGCCTCTTGTTTTCCTATCTTCGCTTAATTTAGGCAAATACCACCACAACTGTCAACCGCCATTTGTCTGCAAGGAAGCACTGAAATGTTACAGGGATTCTCCGTTTGTTGGTTTTTTAGCTACAGTTTGAGCGCCTCATGTGCAGTAAATGTACTAATGCTTTATGTACTTCATTCAGTTATCATTTTGAGAGGGGTGGGCATTATCCCCATTTACCAGATGAGGAATGTGAAACCCAGAAAGGTTACCAAAAAAAAAAAATAAAGTTGCCCAGTATGACTCAGAGGAGGGACTCAATCCCAGGGGTATGCGACTCCGAGCCTCGGCTCTGACCAAACTCTGCTGCCCACCAGAACGCAAGTCTGACTGCGAGCCTGTCTCCATCAGGCTGGGCCACGAGACTGCACCTCATTTTGTTCTCCCTCTCCCCAGACAACAGCGACCTGATTGCATGCACCGTGATCACCAAGGACGGCGGCATGGTCCAGCGCTTCCTGGCTGTCGATATTTACCAGATGAGCTTAGTGGAGCCCGATGTGTCCAGGCTTGGCTGGGGAGTCGTCAAGTTTGCAGGCCTCCTGCAGGTATGATGGCTGAGGACTCTGGAAGCTCTTCTTGAATGACTGTACAAACATACACACACAGAAGAATCATCTCTACAGTTAATTTCTGAGGATACAAGGAATATGTGAACAGACTATCATTGAAAAAAAGTTGAAATACTGCACAGATAAGGGTCAAGTATTCTTTGACCCAAACCCTCAATTCTGAAACTTTCTCTTGCATTGTCAGTATGGGCCTTCCAGAGCGGGTGCTCTGCCAAATGCACATATAAATACAACTACATGTACTGTTTATAAACATTGTGTACACATACTTGAGAGGGGGTGTCTATGTGTGTGTTTTATGGTGTCACATTGAACGTGTTCTAAACTTTTTTTTTTCATTCAATAGATGTCTTAGAGCTGACCATGTTAGTATATGCAGACTTACTAGTATTCTTTTAACTGCTGCGTGACCATACAAGGCATAGTTAGCTAGTTCCCTGTGGCTGTGGTCAGCTTTTTACCTTTACAAACAGAGCTGCCATGAACAGAACCGTCCTTCCTGCTTGAGCAAGGGTTTCCCTCCGTGGCTATCAAGAAGTTGGGGTGTGCCTATTTTTGGTGTTCCTAGATGCTGCCAAATTCCTCTCTCAAGTGATTGTTGCTACCGGCAATGCACGAGAGTACCCTTGTCCTCACCCCCTTTCTAGAAAGCAGAGATGGGCTCTAAACTGCCAAACACCAAGTTGGGACTTGGGTTTTCTCAAGGTGTGGCTGTCTGATGGGTGACTTAGGCCAGCTCATCAACTGAAGGGAGTGAAGAACCAGAAGTGCTGAAGACAGCCTTCCAGCTCCTGTCCCCTGTCAGGACCCCCAGTCCCTGAGCGTCCAGCCAGCTCTCCCCAGCCTGAGGCGTGCCCTGCTCGGAGGCAGCCCATTTCCTTGCTGGGTGGTCTCTGGTCACTGGCAGGGTCTTGCTTAGGCTGACCCATGTCCACCTCTGCACAGTGTGACCTTCTGGCAGCATCCCACTCTCTTAGGGAGCCGCCCACATGTTTGAAGATGCTATTTCCCCAACCTCCTCTTTTTCCAGATCTTTCCACTTAAAAAATGTCTTTTACAGAGGGTGATGTGAGAAACTATATGAAGAATCTTTCCCTTAAAAAAGGACTCCCGTGTAAGAGGTTGTCCATTAGATGACTTAGTGCTTCTTATTTATCTAGAGTTAGGATCAATTTCCCTTAGAATTTAGTGTCAGGAAAGTGTTTTTCTCCCTCGAAGGATTAATACATGTCCTCCATCAGACAATGAAAGGCACATAAACCTTTCCTTTTGGTCGCCTTCCAGTAGTTAGTATTTATTTGTCAGGCCATTACTGTGTGCCAGGTTCTCCGCTCTAAATGTGTAATATCTCATCTAATTCCCCACCGCAACATTCCAAGGCAGATATTCTTTCCAAAGAGTCTGTGCCAGATTTAATACCTACAAACAGCAACCATCTCACTTGGGGAGGCTTCTTAGCGTTTTCCCCAGCTCCTGTAGCACGTCCGACTTTCGCGTCTGCCTCCTGTCTCATGCCTTTATCTTGCATCACCTCAAACTTTTGTGGGAAGCAGATTCTTTGCACAGAATCCACTCTGAGGTTTTAGAAGGGATCCGTCCTTAGCACACTTGCTGTGCGTGAACTTTCTTCTGCACCTTTGAAATGCAGCTTTCTTCACGTGCCTGATAAATGGTCCCCCCCCCCATCCCTTTCTCGGGGCTAGCATTTTCCTTTAGGGACCAGAAATTCTTCGGACACATACAAATGGGTGCCAGGGATGCCCCCTTAAGAGAAGCCAGGAAGAAGCTGGTCAGTAGCTGCGTGAATATATCTAAGATCACTTCAGATGGCCATAGGCATTTTGGTTTGTTATCTGTCATTTCTCAGAAGTCAGGACTGCTGGAGTCTGACTGTTTGAGCCCCCATGGCCCCTTGATGAGGCTGGGGCACCCATTTATTCACTAGCTTACTCAGGTCCTCGTGAGTAGGGTCCCAGCCCTCACAGCCAGCATGGACTCCCTTTGCATGTCCTCTCCGAGAGGCCTGGTCTGGTGTGGGCCCATCCTTGACTCAGACTTGGGAGGCTACTCCTTCAGAGCAAAAGCCAAGGTGAATTTGGGGAACTCCTTTCTTGATAAGATGTAGACCCCACAGCTTCCGAGCCACTGCCCTCGTCCTAAACCTCACGACCACCTTTTCTTTGGCCTCTTCTATAGGACATGCAGGTGACGGGCGTGGAAGATGACAGCCGCGCCCTGAACATCACCATCCACAAGCCTGCGTCCAGCCCCCACTCCAAGCCCTTCCCGATCCTCCAGGCCACCTTCGTGTTCTCGGACCATATCCGCTGCATCATTGCCAAGCAGCGCCTGGCCAAGGGCCGCATCCAGGCGAGGCGCATGAAGATGCAGAGGATAGCCGGTGAGTGGCCAGCTCTGGCGGCTGTCCTTGGAGCCCTCGGGCTCTCACATGGACCTCTAGAAGAGGACACCTGTGGTTTAGGAGTTCATTGTGTTCTGGTGAAAGGACAGAGAATCTGCTCAGAATTCCCCATTCCCCAGGTGTTGGATTTCTAGAGAGTTTCTGGGGCCGCATGGAAGGGAAGGAGAATCCTCCCTAAACAAGCAAGAGGCCATGAGCAGTCAGGTATCCGTGCGGGACAGCTGTTCTCTGGCACACAGGAGTCTTCTAGCTTATACTTAAAAATGCTTGGACATTCCTCTTCTACCTTTGATCCTTAACCTTAAGATCAGTAGGGTCTGTTCTGCCCATTTCTCCGAAGAGTAAACTGAGGCTCAGTGACTTGCCCAAAGTCACCCAAGCAGCGAGTTGGCAGAACCCAAATGCAGAACTTCTGACTCTAAAGCTCATCCCTTCCCCCTCTCCCTCCAGCTCTCGTGAGAGGCAGCCCTGCTTGGTGAGGGGGCCACGATGACCCAGCACTAAACTCGGAAGTTGGTGTACGCGTCATGGGCACTGTGGTGAATTTGTGAGGAGGCCTAACGCTGCCCCTTGCAGGAAGGCTCGAGCTTTCTTAGAAATCAAGGCGCTAAAACGAGGGCGTTCCATTCATCAGGGCTGACAGTGCGGCATTCCCCCGGGGAAAGGCATTCTATCTAGCTGCTCGAATTATAGTCTTTCTCCAGACACCAACGCCTTTCAGTCCAAACACCAGTGGTCATTCTGGTGTGGTTGCTGGGAGGATTTCCAGCCCGCCTGGGGAGGAGGGGCGCCTTCTAAAGGGATTACCGAAAAATAAACACTTGGTGGGCTGGGTCTCTGGACATGACAGATTCGGTTCTTTGCCGTGCCTGCCCTGTTGATTTGCCCAGGCCTGTGTCCCAGGCAGTCCCTGTTTTATTTCTCACTTAGCTGAAACTTGGCCTATAAAATCATTACAGAAGCATTTTGTAATGTGCAAAGTGACTTAAATCATTCAGTCCTTTCTCTGAAGATTTATTTTCAGAAGGTTTGTTGTTGTTGTTGTTGTTGTTTTTAATGTAAAGCAGTTGCTCAGTGCTGGCACGAAGGGTAAATATTTCATTTGGAAAATTGAGAATTATGCTGTAAAGTGGCGTTCGAACTAACGCCTTGGGTATTCCTTAAATTGATTTTAAAAAGCCCCTCCAAATTGCTATATCATGAGATTGGTTTATGCCAGGGAAGACAGCAACTGTGACAGATAAGCACACGCTCATAAAAACACACACGCGCGCGCGGGTAGGTTCGCCCTCACACGCTCTTCCCCATGCGCGTGTACATATGGGAACTTGCAGGGCAAAATTGGCCCCATTTGCTTTGGGGTCTGAAATGACACCCGCGGCAAAGCCTGGCAAGGGTCTTTTGCGTGCGGAAGCCAAGGATCCAGAGCGGATACTGGCCGGCATCTATCTCTGAATCCCTCGCCAGGCACCAGCTGTTTTGATCTTAGGCGGGACCTTTGGGGTCACCTGGGTCTCTCCAGCTTGAGGCTGCCGGCTGCCTGCTTGGCACTGTCCGAGTGATGTGCCTGGTAGAGCCGCAGCCACTCTGGCTGCGCGCCCCCCCGCCCAATCCAGAGCCCGCCACCTGTACCCGCGGCCCGTGTGATGAGCATGAACCACGGTGTTGTTTGAACATAGCCCTCCTGGACCTCCCGATCCAGCCGACGACCGAAGTCCTGGGGTTCAGACTTGGCTCCTCCTCTTCTACCCAGCACCTGCCTTTCCGTTTCTACGACCAGTGCCGCCGGGGCAGCAGCGACCCCACGGTGCAGCGCTCTGTGTTCGCGTCCGTGGACAAGGTGCCAGGTAAGCCGCCCCCACCCCGCGCCGCCTCTCGTCCCCGCCTGGGGGTCCAGGGCTTGCTCTCTGTGGAACCTGTGCGAGCGGACTTCCCTGCGCCTCTCAGAGTCCGGTCGGCTGGAAGCACCCATTTCTTAGGATTCATCAAAGTATGGCACAGGATGAAACACAAGCCCTAGAAATAAATCTTGGCTTTCTCTTTGGTATTCTGCTGCCTCGGTTTGGTTTTCCAGAGATTTTCTGGGAATGTGGAGGAACTTCTCAGAATTAAGACTAAGAAGTTTCTTGGAAATTTCTTGGAAATACTTAAGATTGCTAGTCATGAGGCTGTGGGGGAGTGGTTTCCTTCTCCGTGTAGGATGACTAGAGAGACAGTGTGCATGGTTCCTCTTAGAGCTCCTGAAGAAGTGAGAGCTCCCGATGGGCTGTGCCAGGGTCTTCCATCCGGGAGCTGGGGGCACCTCTGCCCACTCTCTCCAAAACTCATCTTGAAACCACCCCCCTCCCAAAAAAAGAAACACGAAGAGAAAGTTCAAGGGCAGCTTGCTTCTCCAAAAGGGCCGACGGGCTCTCCCCTTCCTGTTCTGGTGCATCTACCTTAAGTAAATCCATGTGCACCCCTATCCCTCGAAAGAGAACCTTGCCCTTGATTACAAAACTTCTGAAAGTTGGCCAGGCTGTCCCCGGCAAGCGTTTGGGGTTTCGAACTTCAATTGATACGTTGCAAAATGTGTTTGAAAGCAGTTACTGATTTAAGAACAGTTGATTTAAAGTGCGGCCGTAAGGACCTGTCCAAAATCAGGGTCCTTCTTTTCCTTCCACTCCGTGATTTATCCTATATTCGTTCTTTGATTTCATTAATTTATTTTAGAAATATATATGCTGTAAGCATATGATATTTTAAAACCCAAGCAGGACGTGATAAAATGAGAAATGAGTCAGCTTTGCCCCAGAAGGAATCACTGTTACCAGTTTCTTGCTTATCATTTTAGAAATGTTCATTTTATGCTGTATATATTTTTTCTTGTCTGTTTTTACACATGGGGTCATACCATATATGTAATTCTGCAACTTGCCTTTTTTTCCCCCACTTAATTCAGTGTTACATGTCAATGCAAATAGATTGACTTCATGCTAATTAATAATTAACTCTTGTATGGTATTTTATTGTATGGCTGTACCAGAAAATCTTTTATCTCGTGTTACATTGATGGACATTTGGGTCATTTCCAGTGTTTTGCTCTTCCAGTGTCATAGGGAACATCCCTGGGGCCTTGATATAACTGTTGCAAATCTTGAGTGTCTGTGGAATAAATTCTCAGCAGTGGGTCTGCCGAGTCAAAGGGGAGGCTTTTCGGGCGCCTGGGTGGCTCAGATGGTTGAGCGTCTGCCTTCGGCTCAGGTCATGATCCCAGTGTCCTGGGATCGAGTTCCGCATCGGGCTCCCTGCTCCTTGAGAGCCTGCTTCTCCCTCTGCCTCTCTCTCTCTCTCTTTGTCTCTGTCTCTCATGAATAAAAAAAAAAAAAAAAAAAAAAAAAAATTTTAAAAAAAAAAAGGGGGAGCCTTTTCTTCTTGACATATGTAGTCCCAACATGCGCTCTGGAAAAGTGTACCCACTAGTCTGTGACTGTTTCCATCCTTGAAACCAGTCTTGGTCTGTAAGAACGATTGTGGCACCACCTCCGTTTTCAGCTATGAAATAGATGATTTGTGCCCACTCCGGGGTCTGGATGATTTTTTTTTTTAAGATTATTTATTTATTTGAGGGGTGGGTAGGGGCAGAGAGAGAGCGAGAGAGAATCTCAGGCAGACTCTGCACTGAGCATGGAGCCTGACGCCGGGCTTGATCTCACAAGATCATGACCTGAGACAAAACCAAGAGTCGGACGCTTAACAGACTGAGCTACCCAGGCGCCCTGGAGGATTCTTTGTTAAAAATTGTCCAGATTTCTTCACATTCTGTAGGGATGGTTGCTAAGTAAATATAGATGATGGCCATGAGTCTGGGTTAAATACAGATTGGCTTGGTAAGAAATCGTTCCTTTTTCTTTCATTCATTCTTTTTTTTCTACACACAGTTAAAATTTTTATAACATTTCTGTAAGCACTGCCTTGTGATTTTTGTAATTGAGATATAACTGACATCAGACATTATATTAAATCATTTCTTTAGGGTCATTAGGGTTTCATCTCAGGAATGAACGGGTTAAGGAGAAAAACCCTGGCCTTATTTCTGTTCCATCCTTTTTGGAACAAGGCAAGTGTAAATAAATAGAGCCAAATGTCACGTTCTTCAGCATCTGCATAATCATCTCTCTGTTTGCAGAAGGCTTTACAATGCCTGATTGCTAACTTCTCCCACCCTGCCTGGGCTCCAGGGGAGAAGTGAGGTCATCCAGTGCTGGGGGTATGGTCCTGTCTACCATGGCCTGGGCCTGCCTGGCGGGGGTGCTGGCATAGCTGAATGCCTCTATCCTGTTGCTGGTCCCAGGGCTGGGGTATTTGAGGTTGAGCCATTTGAGACTGTGGCAGGGCAAAGGCAGCTGCCAAAACTGGCCATCTGCCCCTTCCCTGTCTCTCGCCCCTGACGGCCCCTGGAAGTGCCGCTCAGCTGTGGGGTGGGGAGTGGGGACATTCACCCCAATTGTGCCCCCAAGGGTGACTGCTCTAGGCCCTTGGGGAGAGAGGCCTTGCTGCCTTCCTGAAATGGCCTGTGTTGGAGAGCAAGTGAAATCCGTGAGCCTGAGCATGACTCAGACAGAGGGAGGGGAGCTCTCCCTGCCCTGCCCTTCCTCACCACCTGCTATCTCTGTAGCCTGCCCCACAGCTGCCCAACATCTGGTATCATCCTTGATCCTCCTCTTTCCCGTCCCATCCCCACTGGCCTCCTCTGCCTCCAGAGTACATCACATCTTTTCTCCCTGTCCTGGCCACCAGCCCTCGCCCTAGATCATGCAGGAGCTTCTTCGGTGTTCTCTGGCATCCAGCCTCACCTCTTCCCTTTGGCCAGAGGGATCTTTCTAGAACATGAATCAGATCACATCATGCCCCTCTTTGCAACCCTCTAGCAGCTTCCCGTTGCACTTGGAACAAAATCCGAATCTCTCACTCGGGTCTTGTGTGGTTGTTATGAGATTGGCCCCAGCTGGCCCTTCAGATGCAGCCCCCTACCACTTCCTTCTGTCCCATACCCCAGCTGTACCAGCCCCTGCTGCTCCTCTGAGTCAGTGCTTCTCAAAGTTTTGGCTTCAGGATCCCCTTTAGACCCTTAAGAAAAAGTATCAAGGATCCCAAAGAGGTAGAGTTTATATGGATTATATTTATTAATATTTCAGGTAGTACAAATTAAAACTGAGAGATGCTTTAACTATTTACATATTTATTTTTTAAATAAAAATACACCCATCACATGTAAATATAGATAACATAGTTTTTAATGAACAATAACTGTTTTCCAAAGCAAAAAAAAACAAAACACAACCTTCATGTTTTATATTTTTGCAAATCTCTGTAATATCTGGCTTAATAGAAGGCAGCTGGACTTCTACATCTGCTTCTGCTTTCAGTCTGTTGTCATAGCATACGCTGTGTGGCCTCTGGAAAGCTCCCCCGTATACTCCTGGGAGAGTGAATGTAAAAGGAAAATGCTGTCTTACTATTTTTGTGTGAGTAGCTCTTGTTATTATTTTTATGTGAGTAGTTCTGACCCTGGGAGGGCCCCAGGGTTCCCCAGACTATGGTTTGAGAACCACTCCTCCAAGTCACTGGCCTCTCTCCTGTTTTAGGGCCTCCTCATTGGATGTTCTTTCCCAGATCTGTGTGTGGCTGCCTCCTCCTACTGCACAGGCCTCAGTCTGCATGCCGCCTCCTCCGAGAGGCCTTTCCTGATCCACCCCTCCTTCCTCCATCCCATTAGCCTGGTTTATTTTCTCTGCAGTTCTTTACCTGGATGACATGTTTGGGTACCAGGCTGCGGTCTTTCTTCTGCACGGAGAAGGTCACTTCCATGGACACCTGGTCTGTCCTGTTTATTGCTGTACCTCAGCACCTAGCACTGTGCCTTCATTCAGTATTTGTTGGATGAAGAATGAGCCCACACTTAGGCTTTGCACAGCCTTAGAGCAGATCCCACTAATGCTTTCTTCCTGCGTGAACGCCAAGAAGACAAAGTTCTCTCTGGGGCCCTAGACCTCAGATTGTTTAGTCTGTGGCCCTTGGACTAGGGAAGGGACACCAGAGAATGGAGACCCCGGAAGACCTTAAGCATTCTTCTGCTTCATTTCCGTCACCAGAGTGAACAAGTTGTGCGTCCGGGGCGGGCAAGTGCACGCACGTGATAGATTTTGGTTGGTTGCACCTCATGAATTTCCTCACCCTCACCTTGAAAGTTTTCAAAAACCAAAGAGTAGGGCCAGAGGGGGTCATCAGAAGCACGGCCTAGGTTGGCCTCTGATGCTGTGGCATCCACAGCCCGTGAGTGCAACCCTGTCGCTTCCCCCCCACACACACTTTGGGAATGGTCTTGCTCTGTGTCCCTCACCCTAGGCCACACGGCTGCAAAAACCCCAGGCTGTGTGGGACCCTCACCCCCGCCTAGGGGATAATCCCCAGTAGAGAAGACACTTCTGGCCACCTGCCTCGGGGTGACTGCTAGAGGGGCTAGCTGTTTTATGACATACCTTCCATTTCATCTGTAGCCCAGCTGGCCATCACAGAGCAGTTTGTCCCCACTTTACAAGCTGTAAATGATTATATTTGATGAAAATGTACCTTCAATTTCCTTGGAAGAGATACTAAAGTAGAATATAAATCAGGGCTCTTAGGCAACTAGCCACTTCGGTGTATTTTTCTTTTTCTGTTGGACTTGGAGAGAAATCACAAATTCTCTGTATTGGCTGATTTCATGTTCATGGCTCTTTCCCCTGAAGAAACTTCTACTCCACAAGGGTAGAGGCTTGGGTGCATGCCTGTGGGGCGGCTGGGTCATCAGCAGACAGCGTGTCCA